ATATTTATTGATATTTTAGACCATGAATAATGTATTGGAATTTGAAAATATTTATTATAAATAATTTAACGTTATCATCATCATAACAGTTACTTATCAAATAACTATTTTCTGGTGAATGTTTATAACTTGATCTGTAACATTATACATAATGTGAAAAAATATTTGATCGTATGTGACGCTGGTATTGATTGTGGATGGTATTTTAGTAGTAATCTAGAGTTACCGTATATACTTTGTTACGTACAGTAACTCCAAATAAGCATAATTCATAGTCACATATAATTACTGGTCCGTGATGAGAAAAAGGTTGATAAACACTGGCTTAGACACTTAGCCCATCTGTCCACAAAGCGTATCGTCATAGACGCGTTCGAGATTCAACTTGCAACGACACTTATTGGAATGCGTGCACCTACGCCCATTCCTTCGTGGTGTTGCATCACTTCATCCGTTAGTCTCTCCTTTTTCAAGAAGGACAAACAAAGAAAGTCTAAATTTTGAGATTATATACACATCTCTGTAACTGAATTCTCTGTATCTCCTAATTAAAAATTTTATACTGTTTTTCTTTTCATGCTGACATTTCTGCGATTGTACATCTTTAGATAAAGCAACGTATAAAATTGATTAGAACTCTGTGTTGTCTTGTGAGAATCTCGAAGACAACAATTACTTAGACGACTACAAAGCTTCAAATTCGAGAATAATAATTTAACAATTCGTGGAATAAGGCTTAACTTACGAAAAGGAAAGTTGGTCTTCTATCGTTCTACAACGACCAGTTTTAGTTTCTGGCAAAGTAGTTTTTTTAATCTCTTCCCGCTCTGTGGAAACTAAGAGGACCTATTTTTGTAAGCACATTATGGGTTCGGCTAAGCCCACAATGGGGCTGCTGGGTGGTGATGGATGAGGCCCGACATATCCGAACGGATTATCCTCCGAAAAATTCCTGGGGATTTTTCAATCCGTTCGGATTCGAGCCCGGGTCCCCCAGAGCGGTGGGCTGCCACCTTGGCCGCTCGGCCATCTGGCCACTCTAGCAAAGTATAAAAATCTAAATTCTTCTCCTTATTCTTTTACTCTCCTCAGACTACTTCTTGTTTTTAATGTCAAATTGAAGCAGGAAAGATATTTGAGCATATGAGGAATATTAAACGTAATTGAATGGAGGCGTAACTGGCGATAAATTTAAAAAAAAAATTGTAAAAATATTTTCAACGGTATTATGAGAGGGGGTAAAAGCGTATCTTTGAAACAGATTTTGACATTGCACAAAGTAACTTAAAGTTTTTAATTTTAACATAAACTTTTTAAATTTACATAATTGGAGAAAAAGTGTATACTTGTATATATACAATTATTTGTTTTACCCTGAAATAATTTCATACAATTAAAGTTAAAATTAAGTTATAATAAATTTTCACAGTAAGTATTAAATTAATTTTAAAATATATAAATCACTTTAAATTGAATATTGGTACAAAATGAATTTTAAAATAGTTAATAGAAAACTATTAACTATTTTAAAATTCATTTTGTACCAACAACTTTTTTTTAAATCTTTCTAATTAATAATTTTAGATTGGCAGAGGAATTCGAAACATGTTTTCATGCATCTTACCAATTACAATGTCAATTTCGACAATGGCTACTGTATAAAAATGCTATGAAAAGTTTCATATCTAGTATGAAGGATAAAAGTTGGAGAGTTTACAATTCCTTTACACTGGGTAATAAGTGGTAAATACACGTATATAAATTAGTAAACATATTATAGAAAATTTATTTTAAAAATTACTTGTTTAGTTGGAAAATTCGAAATATACAACTGTTTTCTCAGCATTAATTTTTCAAAAATTGAATTATGTCTGCCTAGTCTCTATGGTTACATTTCTCAGAACACTATTAAAAATGCAAAATTATCAAAGTAAGTAATTTTAATGTATAATTACAACAATGTTCGTTTTTTATCATAAGTATGTTTACGATAACTTTGTAATGATAAGTAGAAATTTTTATTGTAGTATAAATTGCTTGTTGTTTGGATAACTATGTTAATTTTCTAATGTGCCTCAAAACCAAACTTATCATAAAGACCACAAATGACTTTAGAATGACTACAAAACAGTCACCTCACCAATAGTTTTCTCATTTCATTTTTATTGACTCCAATGTGCATACAATATTATATAATATTTAGTTAACAGCTAAAATTCCACATCTATAAGGTCCCTTAATGCCTAACAGTTTCACAATTTTCCAATGCATCCAACAACTGAACTCAAAAAATGTTTATACCAATGTCCAGTTCACTAACCATTGCATAACCTTAAAGTCATTTGTGGCCGTTATGATAAGTTTGGTTTTGAGGCATATTAATAGCCAATAGAAAATTAACATATTTTTTCAGTTTTATTTCATGTCTAAGTGAATTTAAATCAATTTTTTCATGTTCTAGATATAAGAAAAATATATATTAATACAAAATTACTTTAGTTACTATAGATTTGCCGATTTATGCATAACTAAAATATTCGAATCGTGTCCTGCTAATTTGAAAAATACTTTCAAAGAACTATTGATGTCAGTCGGAGAGATCCAAGAGATAAAAACAGGTATTTAGACAACAACAAGGCGATAATAATTAAAACAAAGCTTTTAAAACATTTTTCAGAAAATATCTATATCAACTTAGTTCTAGTAAAAATTTTAAATCTTATCAAGTAAATTAAAAAAAAAACATATTGTTTTCAGGAATGACTACGACTATAATCCCTGAAAATACCGATTTTACGAATGAACTTTCGCAAGGATATCAAACATCCACGTCAAATTATTATACAAGTACAACGCATAAGTTTCTTCGAAGCAAATTTCAGCCATATGTTACGGTCCCGATTAATACAAACTTAGCTTTGAACATTCCAGCAAACATTCCATCAAAATTTGCCTTCTCTCCTTATATTACAGTTGATCCGATTCTTTCTAGACAGATTTCAACGTCTCCAAACGAACCTTCTGAAAACGGCGTTTTTCCTCATGTTAATTCAACAGATATATTTCATACGAATGCAAAAGCGATAAGAAGTACTTCAGAAATTGAGCCAGTAAAAGTTTCCGAGCAAGTTTTTAATCCGTATATTACACTCCAATCGATTACCCAAATTCCTTCTTATAGAGGAGCTTTTAAACCGTATTTGGATAACTCGAAGTCTGCTACTGAAGGTTTGTCATTCCTATCTATATAATATTTTTTTATTCTGTTGTTTAAATACAAATATTCGCTAATATTTATATTAATACATCTATATTTATGTTTAGAAATAACATAAAATTAATAATTTATCTTAATAACTAATTTATATTTTAAAAATGTGTCGATTCAATTTTTTATGGCGCATTATATTTTATTATTAATGAAGAATTCATTTAATTAAAATAAAGTTCAATGCAAGATAAATTAAGAGGGGAAATCGAAAAGTCTTTGCCAACTGCCATTTTTTTTTTCTTGAAAATAATTATAATTCAAGAATTTCAAAATATATATATGACAGAGTAGTTCTTTCTGAGTCGTCTCATCAGTTTTTAACTCTGGTAGATGCGGAGTGTTCGAAAATGGCGGTTGTTCTGTGTTTGATTTGATTTTTGTGAGCATCTGGCAAGAATACAAGCAAAATTTATTCAGAAATGAGTGCTTTGTATGGAGACAATGGTGTATGGCGGTAAGTTATGAGTTAGGGTTCGAGAAACTCGGAAAGGAAACGACGAACATTCCGGATCAGGCTGTTTTTCGTCATACGCTATACAGTCTGAATCTGACATCTTGTGATTATCACCATTTTGACCTTCTTAAAAACGAATTAGCAGGTAACTGCTTTGAAAGTGACAATACGAAGAAAACGGCTCGACTATAGCTGCATCAGCAACCGAACACATTTTACGAGAGTGTATCCAAAAATTTGTTCCACAATGGGAGAAATGTTTGGCCCGTCTTGGAAACTAAATATAAAAATAGAGTAGAATATGTGTTGAATATAAAAATGTGTTTTGAAATTCTAAAATAACACTCAGATTTTCAGAAGAACACCGTTTGCTAAGGCATTACGATTTTCCCTCGTACTTAATAATTTTTATAAACATTTTTTTTAATTCCAATTTTTAAATTAAATTTAAAAATCTAAACTTGAAAATTATGTTTTATGAGAGAATTGTCTTCTATTTATTTTCAATAAGATATTAAAAAGTTCTGTAATACAGTAGACTCCTCCACATTTGATCTTCCAATATTTGCACTCTTTCTTATCCGGATTGATCAAAAGCAACAAAAAATTTCCGGAAATATTGTACACTATTCCGAATCTTACCTTTCCATAGAGCAATATGTACAGTACATTAAAAAATTTTTTTAAATTAAGATTGGCTTAAAGATCATAGAAGAGCACGACGTATCAACCACCGCTGATATGATAATGATGAATATTGGCATGATGTAGGCTAGCAGTTTGTCAGAGAATCGAGAACAAAACAAACAACTTGAACACAATACTTTCAAAATTAATTGTAATTGTCAAAAATAAGTGTCAAAGTCAAAATCAATATTTTTTATACCGGTACGTACAGTAGGTATATGTGTTAGTCTTTCGCTTCGAAATTCGAACTGCATGCGCAGAGAAAAACTACGCTCGAAGAGTAAAAGCAATCGTTGTGCGCCGAAGGGTCTCTTGTTTGAGGGCGCGATTATGTTGATGCGAGAGAATAAGAATAGGTGACAAGAAGAGATGATGACGTCACATGTTCGCGTTGAACTCGTCACAGAAAAGCGTGAATTGTTGCACTGTATGGAAGTAAAAATCAAAATAGTTCGACTAGGATGTTGCTATTAGCAACGTAAAAACTTTTGTTATTGGGATTACTTCATAATGAATACATAAAGAAAACGAAAATACGATGTTCCTCATGTCTGGACACAGCGAAAGGATAAAGAAGTTTATTATATTTGAATTTCCGTCAGATGAATAAATTACTTTTTACAAAATCCTCAGTAGATAAAGAATCAAAGAGCCAGAAACCCAATGGACAAAGATGAAGTAACAAGACGTCGTAAGATTTACCATTCCAATTTTAAAGAAGATTTTTTCTTAATATTTATTGGTTTTTTTGTGTTTTTAAGGAACTTTTTAAATATAGGCAGTTGTGTAGCCTAAAAAGGAAGGTCCAGCTGTCTGTACTTTGTTCTAGAACACTTTGTAAAAATGGTAATCGTCTGAAATATATATTTTTAGAACGACTTTGTCTTTTAATTTTGTAAAAAGTTTATTATAATTTATTAATAAAATAGAACTTTTATGGCTATGTATATCTATAGCTTTGAAAAAGAAAACAAAAATCTTTGTATATATACAGTAGAAGAAAGATAGAGAAGCTATCTTCTACTCGTGCTAAAGAGCACGCGCAGTATTCAAATTTTATTCGTGTATCCGATAAATGCCGTAATCCACTCATTGCTATCCATTCATTCTAGAATGATATAGATTTTGTTTTTCGTTCCTCGATATCTTGTCTCTATCATTTCTTAATATTTAGTACAGAGTGGAATTACGTTTCTTCTCTTTCTCACACGAACATCCATGATCGAGAGATAAAAAACACGGATAATGTCTGGATGCTAAAGATACGGAATGTCTAGGCCAGCATGGAAATACGCGACAGTTAACAACCCGTAACCTTTTCATGTACAAAGTTTATCATAGTGTTTTTGCATTGTCTTGTATTGTAATGCCTTACTCGTATTATCTTATATTGATATTTCTTGTTACTATCTTGATTAAAAAATTCCCGAAGTAGGTCTATAAAGTGGCCAAAAATGTTAGCGATTTAAAAGAATTTTATCGTTTATGGTGGTGTTTTAGAATTTAACTGGAGTAATAGTGTAGATAACATCTGATACCAGAAAAAGAAAATTATTCTTTGATATTTTCAGCAAAAAATGTTTTAAAGATTTCTGTAATAGCCTAATCTTCTCATTCCTCTCATTCATTTTGTTCTCTCTTAACAGTGAGAAGTATGTATTTAGAATAACTAAACTATTTAGGTCTAATGGTATCAGAATCTTTCTTTTATTAAACTGTCAACTACATTCTTATTCAAAATATAAATTAGAATAATCATGATGATCGGTTTTAAACTACAACGTTAATTATTCTCAATTCCAATTAAAAATTACCCTATCATTTTATTAATATTGATAAAATTTTAATATTTTCATTGACGTGAATATGACTTTATCACGTTTCTTTCTCGCCGAGTGTTTTTTTTTTATGTTTGTAAACCTGAAGTCTGTTTTTTTAAATCGTTTTGAGAATAATTTCCGCTGGTTTTCTTGTTAATTGACAAGACTATGTCTTGTTTATAAAATCGTACTGCCCGATGTTCTTACCAGCATAGAAATATGAAGGAGTACATGTCGAGAGTTGATATTTGGCACAGAGTATTAGGTGCCCAAATCATTTGCGCATTTAAAAAATCCAGACTCGTAGGTAGTCAGGAGACCGAGAATCGAGTCAAAACAAAATACAAAATGGCGACCCTTTTCTACAAACAGGCAAAACAACCACCTCACCCCACCGAAGTCAGGTGGGGAAAGTACCACCCACAGTCATTCTAAGAAGTGAACTCTGACCTTAGGATTGAGTTTCTTCTATGTTAAATAAAATTTGTAATCTAATTTTGTAAATTTGGGAGTGCTTCAAATATGACGTTAAAACGGTTTTATGTCGTTACAAGTGGGTTTTTTAACATTATCTAGTATAGTAAAATCGTAGGACCGATAAAAATTTGACGTTATATTAGGGTTGTCATTACATTCGATGACATTATAATCGGATTAAACTGTATATTGTTTGTGCAAAATAAAAGAATAATTTCGAACGATACAATAGCCACGATTATTTTTTTCAAAAACGGGAACTTTTCATTACGCATCGACAAAAATTCAACCCGGGCCGACACGCAACGGAGAGAAATTTTGAAATTAGATAGGTTAATTTCATCGAAGATGCATCGTGGACGATCTCGTGGTCGTGGCCGGCGAAGTTTGAACGATCGCGCCCAAAAGCAGCGATATCAAAGAAGATTGGATAATGAAAACGAGACCTGCCTTGAGCATCAAAGTGATTCCGTCTCCGAGACATAGTCTTGTCCCAAATACGGTTTTGCCGTTTTACTTGTTTTAATTTTCAAATTTAATTACGAGTGACGCGTGGAGTTATTTTTAAAATGTCAAGAATGGAAAATTGGTGCAGCATACAAATTGTAATGTTACACTAAAATTTTCTGGTAGCACAGTTACGTGAAATTATCTCAAATCCAAGCATATTTTACTGCCAACAAAAAGTCAAAAAAATGCAAGTAAACAACATGATACCGTGTCAATAAAATCATTTTCATTGCCTTCTCAAAACCGGTTTTCGGTTTTTGCTAAAATCAGTGTTTACCGAAAGTCGGTTTTGTTCCAGCACTACTATCATTACAATACAGTATATACGTATGTTGGGGCTGTTGTACCTTATGATTATCAACAAAACGAATTTTTTTCTCGTCAAATATACCGAATAGTCTGTTTTATTTTGTGTTTCTTCAAAAATCACGTTGCCTCACACACGGATATATTAGAGAGGTTCGCGTTGAAAACGTGTACGTCGGACGTTGAGCGCCGCCTTCCTGTAAACCTGGAAGTTTCACAATGACGTTTGGAACGTCAGTGGAATCATGCTCGGGTTTCAAACGCCATTGTAAAATTTGTATAAATAGATATACTTATATACTGCGTTTATAACATAATTATATAAGATCGGTGATTATTATAAAATATTTAAATGTATTTACTGTATTTTTTAAATTCAATTTGCTTTTTTCTTTTTTTAGCTACGTCAAAAAGTTCAGCTACAGAGACAATTACAACTGATCAAATTACTTATAGTTCTAGTGTTTTAGTGCCCAACAGTTCAAACACTTCAGGAAACGATAACTCAGAAAGTTCAACTGTTTCAACAGCATCTACTAGTGACATAAACATAACCACAAATTTATTTAATCAATCGACACAAACAGATGAAAATAAAACGGAACATCCCACATTTGTAACAGTCAACAGAACAGATATGAATACAACGAACAGTCAATTATCAATTACCATTACAGAGAGTCACTCGGTAACTACAGAAACAACTTTAACTCATCAGCCTTCTCAAGGAAATGTGACAATGCAGGATAAAAGTTCAACGAAATCTCAAACGAATTCACACAACGAAACACAAGTAACCAATTCAACTAATGTAACAACGGAAATATCAGAGAAAAATAACAAGGGTAAAACAGAAATTGGACCTCCTGATCAAAATGGAACGGTACCACATATTAAAATAGTTACAAAAGAGTCTACAACTGAAAAACAAATAACAGTTTCCTTAACACCAGAAACACACAATTCTACAGAATCTAAGCAAGTAGAAAACACTACGATAGAAGTTATATCTGGAAATTCAAGCGTCGTTTTAACTCATTCTGAATTAAACAATTCCACTGAATCTACACAAACGACAAACGCTAAAACTGAAAATCCAAGTACTGCTGTACACCATTCTGAATTAAACAATTCCACTGAATCTACACAAACGACAAACGCTAAAACTGAAAATCCAAGTGATACTGTACACCATTCTGAATTAAACAATTCCACTGAATCTACACAAACGACAAACGCTAAAACTGAAAATCCAAGTGCTACTGTAAACCATTCTGAATTAAACAATTCCACTGAGTCGGGACAGGTTACAAAGACTACAATAGAAGTTTCATCTGGAAATGCAAGCGTCGTTGTAACTCCTTCTGAATCGAATAATTCCACTGAATCAGGACATAATGTAAATACTGGGATAAAAATTGATACTGGAACTTCAAATATCGTTGTAACTCATCCTACACAGATGAGTTTTACTGAATCAGTGACAAACAGTGAGATAAAAACTGAACTTGGAAATTTAAGTACCACTGTAAGTCATTATGAATCAAATAGTTCAACTGAATCTGGAGAGGCTGCAAAAACTGAGATAAAAGCTAATTCTGGAAATGAAAATATCGTTGTAACTCATCCTGCACCAAAGAATGCTACTGAATCCGCATAAAAAGGAAATCCTTGCGATAAAAATTTTCAGAATTGAAAATTCAAGAATTTCTGAATCAGAGAATCCGACAAATTGTAATCAAGTAGTAAAAGTAATGCTAAGACACTTGTAGAAGTTGAAAATTCAAATACGATTTCGCATCATTCCGATTCTGAGAAATTTCAGTGTCAAATTTAATCAAACTGTTCCTGATTTGTCTCCACAAATTAATCAAATATAAACATTTAGAAAAATAGAATATAAATATAAATTTCATGTTTAGAATACTGAAATATGCGATTTACTGAAAACACTCATGCAAACTGGACAACGAGATATAAACTGTCAAAAAATTAGTTACGTTTCTTATTAAAGTAGAAAGGATAATATAAATAATAGCCCGTTTTAGTGTTTTTAAATGTCTCCAAACAAAACAAAGAAACACTTATCGTAAATTTATCGAAATTTTTTATTTAATTATTATTTAATAATGTGATTTTCAATGGACAATCTTTAACTACTGTAACTTTTTATTTTAATAAATAGCCTATTTGTTAACTAGTTGGATTTGTTTGCAATATTTTCTGTAATAAAATACTAATCAGAAATATTTTGTATTAAAGCTCGTTATTTTAAACTTATAAGGAACGTCTAAATCGGTCATGAGTAACCCGCGAGTTCCCCTTCTGTCTTGGAAGTTTTGTGTGAAAATTATTAAGCTATTGTTCATCCGCCTGATTTTTAATGGCACTTTTCCGGTTTTCTGTTGAACGTGTCTTGTTTATAGATCTCCCGCAAGAAATATATTTATACAATCAAACCTCGGTTTTCGGACTTAATTCGTTCTTAAAAGTTGTTCGAAAAACGATATTTTATTATATTAAATATAATTGAAATTAATTTGAATGACAATGTCATTCAAATTAGATGGTTCGTGTCGTGACGTCTAATGGTGTCAGGCGATTTTGGCGCCAGTAACTTCTGAACTGGTAGTCCCGTCGACTTTCTTTAACACAGAAAATACACTGAAATTGACTGTCCATCTCTTCTTATCTGTAGCCGTCTCTTGCCGGATGGCTTGTTCGGCAACCGAGTTATCGTACGGAAACTGGGGCAAATATTGCATTCAAAATTATTTTCGTAAACCGAATTATTCGAAAATGAGGCGTTCGAAACCCGAGATTTGACTGTATATGCCTATACACATGTAAATATACTAGGCATGTTCAGAAAGTAAAGATACAAGGCCAGTAGAAATTCAAGGAAAATTATTTTTTCATAGTTTCCTAAAGTTTCGCTTCTGTTTGGTCTGTTAGGCTCAGACCCTAACAGACGAGATACTGTGACACAAACTAAGTGGAAGTGACTTCCCCCTCTGTACAGTTATATTTGAAAGTAAAATAAGATTTTCTATCATATTTTACTTTAAAATTATTAATTTTAAAAATAGAATTAGAGATATATTTATGTGTACATATTTCTCAGAATATTTTCGCGAAAATATAATTCTTCTAACATTTAATTCTAAATATTTCTTATAAGCACTGTCTGCTTCTTGAATACTTTACTCATAAATACTTTTTTCAACAGATTAAAACGTTTCGTTATTAAATCATACTAAAAATATTAGGTTAAAGCGGCATAAAGTTGCAAACAAGACTGTGCCATTATTATTATTTTAGAGTAAAATTTCAGAGTAGAAAAGAAACATAAAACACGTTATACCAGTACGTAATAAGTACTAAATTACTAAAATAAAAAATGACAATAGCGAGTATCATTTTCATGTTATGAAAAATTTTTTAATAAATAGCCTACTGGTACAGTTATATTTTAAAAAAAATTAATTTAAGAGCTTTATTGCAAACGAGTTACTTTATTTTAAAACAATAACTGATTTATATTTTTACTATAAAATTAAACGAAAGAAACATCCTAAATCAGTTGTATAAAGTCGTAAAGGCTACAGTTAGGAATATCAGTTTAAAAAAAAAATTATCATCAAATAATAGATTTCCTGTTAAACGAAATATTTGTATTCATTATAATCACATTATGTTTTTCTTTACATTTGTATTGTTTATTGTTATTTTTATCCGTAGATTAAAAAAATCAATTAAAGTAAAATTTGTAAGCATTTTTTCTCATTTTTAATTTGGAGTTTATAAATTTCCAATTCAATTTTGACTTACCTTCCGAAAAAGGCTTTCCATCACTGTTCCACACAAAACAACATTGTCAGATCACAGCCCCCTCCCAATTTATCATTTGGTGTTGGTGAACAAACCCATCCTGCCGATTGCATAGACAACGTTTAGAGATCGACGGAGGTTTACAGATCGGGTAAACCGCTGTTCAAAAAATTTCATTGCAGAGACGGCGTTTCTTGCCTGCCACAATGTAGACAGCGATTAGAAACAAGTTATTTGACGTATTTTCTAGACTCACTCGATAGCAGGTTTAGAGGGCTTTTCAATTCGAGTGGTAGATTTGTTCGCGGAAAAATTTAGATAAAAACAGATATCGTTCCTTTGATCGTTGTAAACGGTACGAACCGACAAAATTATTCATTATTAATTAATTGCTTGGAGCAAAAACAACAAAATTAAATACTTTAAATTTGTTTTAAATGTTCCAATTTCGATATTCAAACGGGTGAAGACTTAAAACTTCAATTAATTTAAATCAGATGCATTTATTTACAATTCGAGTATCGTGTCCGTTATAAAACGTTAATGCATTTCGGAGTCATTGTACAGTTAAACAAACGAGACAATTTTAATAATTACAGAAATTTGTTTATAGATATAAAAAAATGTAATATTAATAATAAAATATTTAAAATTATTCATTTCGACAGTAATAAGATGTCAAAATCACAGCCGTAACTAGAATTTTGGACGCCTACGGCCAAGAATAAAAATGGCGCCTTTTTAATTTTTATTATTAAAAAAACAATAATTTTATTCTAAAAAATGCTATTATAAAATTATCTAATGACATTTAAATACTATATAAATATAAATATCAATATTTTTTTGTGTTATTAATTTCGAATACATATTATTCTGAAAGCTTCTCGTTGGCGCCTTTATTAAATTGGCGCCTATGGCGGGGGCAACATTGGCCATACTCTAGTTACGGCTCTGGTCGAAATAATTCCTTAAAAATGTATTCCGAAGACAAATTTCGAATTCGGTATAAATTTTTTATATATGGATTTGTTCATATTTTAAACCGTATTGGCGACGAAATTAAATATCAAAATGGAAAAAGATTGTCATTAATTGCCGAACAATGATTTTGACGACCTTAAGATTTTATTTCTGGAAGCTTTCGGAATATAGCTGGCGACCATTTCTGACGTCACAAACAAATAACCCGATTGGCCGAACGACTCCTAAAACGGGAGTAATAGCGAAGTAAGAGCCAATGTTTTGCCGAAGTTCGTTTAAAGAACGGTCAGAAATAGACGATCGTCGTCTTTGCAACGCATTTTAAATCGCGGTTCAGCCAGCCAACGTCTATAGGCTGTTCTGCTGATAAATGTCGTTTAACGTAAACTCTGTCTCTGCAATCGGCTGATCAAGTTCTCAGGAACTGGATGGATATGTTGACTATGAAGAACCCAATGGGTATATTCTGTATTACATCCTAGGATATTCTCAAAATCATAGGATGTAATACACATACAGCACCATGTTATCAGCATAATATGTATGCAAATCCTAGCTGAATGATGAAGATTTTGTCAACATGCAGATGTTCCAAGTGCTGTCCAAGGTTTTTTGGTATGGTATCCAGTGTGTCGACGACCATTGAACCCAAAGCTGCTATTCGTGCCATTTTCTTTCAAGTTCGATTATTAGATCTTGGTATTTTGTGATATTTTCCAGTTTCCCCTCTTCAACTCTGCTGTCAACACTATTGCCATGTCAATTACATATTTTTCTCTTTTAAATCAGTGTTAAGTCTGGTCCTTTGCCAGTTTAGATTCGAAAATTCCATAATATTTTGAGCTTATTTTCGACTAATTGTTCAAGTAATTATGAAATAGCTAAAACTTAGAAAGCAGTCTAAGATTATGGATATGAATACACTTTTTAGGGATCAAATTCAAGCTGTCTGGAGCAACATACGTAAATCTGTCTGCCTGAAATTAGTAAGATCAAATTGCACACAATGTGATTAAGGCTAAAGGATGGTATACTAATTAATGATTTGCCATTACTCCTTGCTTAAAATATCTCCAAAAGTCTGGCTCAGTATATTATATATTTAATAGAGATTTTCTTTATACAAGGATTTAATTTAATGTACATTTAAGAATAACTAGTTCTTTCTTCTGAACTTTTCTTACCTTCTTCTCTATGTATATAAATTTATTGTTATTAAATAAAAATGTATAACAAACTGACTCACTTTTGGACACTGGTGTATATATTATTATTCTAGAGAAATAACGAAGTTCATATTAGCAATAATACAAATTTATTGTTTTGTATTTCATGTACAGTATTATATAAATTAATATATAATGCACAATAAAAATATTAATTTATACTTTTATTATATATTGTAATATTGTAATTAAACAAAAATATAATTATTTATTTTATGCCATACCATAACAATGATGATTATATTTGCATAATGACATCAAAAATTTAAATCTTGAGCTGGGAAGTCAGATCAAAATTATGAAAGAGAAATTTAAAAGAAAAAACAGGATGGTTATTGGTTTTGACATGGACAAAGACTATCCCTGTCTGTCGGAACCATATTATGTAATAATAAAGATAGTTTAGTGGTTATATTTTGATATTGTGTCATCACAAAAATTTGTATATAATACTTTCTTATAATTCTAATTGATTCTTTTTTAGTAATAAAATTTAATAAGTTTTTATTTTATTTTATGCAAGAAAAAATACAACAAAAATACCGCATAAACAATATATATATACTGTAGTTTTAAAAGTATATATATATACAAGTTTCAAATGACAATTCAAATANTTCTTCTCTATGTATATAAATTTATTGTTATTAAATAAAAATGTATAACAAACTGACTCACTTTTGGACACTGGTGTATATATTATTATTCTAGAGAAATAACGAAGTTCATATTAGCAATAATACAAATTTATTGTTTTGTATTTCATGTACAGTATTATATAAATTAATATATAATGCACAATAAAAATATTAATTTATACTTTTATTATATATTGTAATATTGTAATTAAACAAAAATATAATTATTTATTTTATGCCATACCATAACAATGATGATTATATTTGCATAATGACATCAAAAATTTAAATCTTGAGCTGGGAAGTCAGATCAAAATTATGAAAGAGAAATTTAAAAGAAAAAACAGGATGGTTATTGGTTTTGACATGGACAAAGACTATCCCTGTCTGTCGGAACCATATTATGTAATAATAAAGATAGTTTAGTGGTTATATTTTGATATTGTGTCATCACAAAAATTTGTATATAATACTTTCTTATAATTCTAATTGATTCTTTTTTAGTAATAAAATTTAATAAGTTTTTATTTTATTTTATGCAAGAAAAAATACAACAAAAATACCGCATAAACAATATATATATACTGTAGTTTTAAAAGTATATATATATATACAAGTTTCAAATGACAATTCAAATACTTAGTCATTTAAATAAATCAGATTTAAAAATAAGTTAATTTAATTTAATTTTTCAATTAAAAAGATGGAGATAGAAATGCAAGAAAAAGGATTTATTATTATTATTATTAATTTAACAGTACCACGTTTTCCAACTTAATAGAAAAGCCGCAGAAA